CCATCTGTGGTCTCGAGTGATGTCTTCATATGTTTCATCTGTCGGTCCATATCTTGGGATCAAATGAAGTGATTGTTTAAATGAATAGTATTTTTGTCACAAATTGTAATAATATTTACATTGAATTGAAAACATAAATTGATTGCAATATAAGTGACAATAAGTGACATCTATTGACCACTTGTTATGTATGGCTATATAGACGTAGTGTTAGTCCCAATCGATAGCAATATTATATAGTATTCATAGAAATAGTGTTATTATAAAAAGCACTAAAACTTCGATACCTTTTGAATGCCTTTTCGGCGCAAATATTATGTAATTTTTGCTTTTGTTTACATTTTATAACAAAAATACTTTAAATATATTTATTAATTAAAATTTGATTATCAAATCATTTATACAATCAATTCATTTGATCTCAAGATATGGCACAACACGTAGAATCAATGGAGACATCACTCGAGACCACAGATGACGGCAATGAAGACAAAGAGATACAAGTATTTGATAAACAATTAACTGTTTATTGAGTTTTATTTATAAAGTTTTTGTCTCATATTTTAGCCACAAATCTACGCAAAAGAGTCTTTGGATCGATTCGGTGATGACTTGTGTGCACTTCTCTTGTCTTACTTGTCAACAAAAGATCGATTCCGATACGAATGTGTGTCCAAACAGTTCCAGAGGAATATCTACAAAAGTGTCGTAACCTTCAAATTAAACGACAAATTAATCCGAAAAATGCCCGAAAGATATTACCCGCAAATGTTGGCCACAATTACCACAAAGTGTCCCAACATTGAGATCATTGACTGCCGAAGACTGGAATCGAGTCGCCTCTCGAGTCAAACGACAAATTAATCCGAAAAATGCCCGAAAGATATTACCCGCAAATGTTGGCCACAATTACCACAAAGTGTCCCAACATTGAGATCATTGACTGCCGAAGACTGGAATCGAGTCGCCTCTCGAGTCACGCGCCGGAAATGTTGCACACGTTTCGCGACAAGTGTTGGCATTTGCGGGACATTTACTGCAATCCAATGCTGACTAACATTAAAGCGCTGCACGATTTGCGACCACTGGTCACCCGAATCGGATCCAAGCGTCGACACACCGGCCGTTATGTCCGATACTGCGAACGACTGTTTGACTTATCGCTTAAATCATTGTCTGACGTCTACTCCCAGAAGACGGTAATACTGTTGAAGAATTTACGCAAATTATCGTTTGAGACCTACGATGGCGTCAACGGCCCGAACAATGAAGTGTTGGCCGCCATTGCGTTCAACAATCAGTCGCTGACGTGTCTGGCGATCAGAGATCTAAAGCCGCCGTCCATTGAGATTATGCGCGAATTGGCGGACGTATTGTCACAACGATTACCACAATTACGTAAATTGACTCTTCATTTCGATGTGACAGACATTAAGTACTCATTAGAAGGCTCTTTGGCCACAATTGCCCTGAATTGCCAACAATTGAAACGATTGTCACTCGTATTGCGGTCGACGTCCAAACAACCGGTTGTCCAGACATTGCATTCATTGCCATATTTTTCGCAATTAAAACGATTGCTTTTAAATCTCTACCCGACTGTCAATGACTTCCAGTTCCTAAGCTATCAATTCGTGGATCATTTGAGACTTTGCCGCCGATTAACGCATTTAAGTCTTCAGTTCTCGCAAATAAATCCTAATATTTTAGACAATTGTCACACATATTGGCCGCGACTTCAATACCTGTACATCAAATCTGTTGTAATCACTGGCGAGTGTTTGTCTCACATCTCAAGACTACCGGCGCTGCGAACGCTTGTCATTGACTTGAAGAAAGACATTGATCTCAAAGATAATGATTTGGAAAACCTGTTGTCGAGAAGTCCTAAACTAAAGAACATTAAAATTAGTGATAAAAAACAATCAAAATTTTATTGCTGTAAAAATAATTGATTTATTTTTAAATATTTTAAATTAAACAAATATTTTTGATATTTTATTTATAGACTTTTTTAATTTAATTAAATATTCAATTTCCTAATTCATGGCCTCGAGTGACGGTTCAGTTCAAATAAAACACAAGTTTTATTAAAACATATTTATTAAAAATATTTGAATATTTATTAATTTATTAAAATCTTAAACATTTAAAGCATTTGAAGTACAATAAAACTTTGATGTGTTGTTTCCATAGACTTCAATGTTCTTGAGTTTAGGGTTTGTGGTCAACAGATCCTCGAAATGATGATCATTGAGAGTATGATCGGAGCGAATGACAAGTGTCTGCAGCGCTAGTAGTCCTGGCATTTGAAACAAACAATCGCTGTTTAAAATGTGGCGTTAAATGCATAGGTATTGAAGTCGTGAATGATTGTCACAATTATCTATAAAATAGTCAATAAATAGAAAACATATTAAATATTTATTTCAATTTTAACTTTTATTTTGAGTGAATTAAAATATTTAATACAAATAATTCATTAATTTTTAATACTAGAAAAATAAGTGAATTAAAGATACTGTACTCTCATTAATAGTTAGCATTTTATTGAAAATCACTCAATATTTAAAGCATTTTTACTTTGAATAAAACTTCTTCTCATTGTTTACATAGACTTCAATGTTCTTGAGTTTAGGACTCGAAGACAACAGTTCTTCACATTCATTATCTCTCAGACAACGACTCTTATGAAAGCATTTATAGACAAGTGTTTGCAGCGCCGGTAGTCTTGAGATCTGATCCAAACACTCGGCTTTTATAACGGATCCGTTGCCATAAATGCATAGATATTGAAGTCGTGGACAATATTTATGGCAATCAATCAGACATTTGTCGTATGTTTGCCTCAATTTAATCACTAAATGCGTTAATGCCTTGCAGTGTCTCAACTGATCCAACGTCAAGTCATCGATGGTCACAAGAGTTGTTAAACTCAATCGTTTCAATCGTGAATAATATCTCAACGAATCCAATGTCTTGAGATTGTAATCTTCATCGGAATAGAAATGAAGTGACAATCGTGACAATTGTACCGACATTTCGGTCAAAGACATCTCATATTCAATATATCTTATGTCAAGGCATTTGAGGGACTGATTCTGTGCCACGAACTCAGATAATCGGTGATTATCACTGTCTGAACAGAAAGTTAACTCAAATTTATTCAAATTCTTTGCCATTAGTTGTCCAGAAGTGTCGTCGAAAACTTGATCCAAACAATCGACACTTATTTGAGATATAGGTTCAATGTCACCGAATCGGGTCATCAGTGGTCGCAATGATGCCATTGTTTGTACACTATTTTCCCATAATTTATAGTAAATTTCCCGCAAATGCCGGCAATTGTCGTGAAATATGTCTAACATTTCGTGAATGTGTTCATCAATAGTGTCTTCTATTCCTCGACAGTCAATTGTCTCAATGTTTGGGCATTTTATGGCAATTTTGGCCAACATTTTAGTGTCAATTGTCTCCGCATTTAGTAAATTGAAACGAAAAAATAAGTCGTGAAAAGAGATGTCAACAACACTTGTAAAGACAGTCCTCTCACTCAAATAAAAAAAATGTTAGAACTACCAGAGAAAAACGTTCCTTCTACCAGTTTTGTATACTTTTGACTCGATGTTACAACGTTTTATTAAAAATGTTCAAACATTTTTTTGAGAATGTTCAAACGTTCAGTTGAAAATGTTCAAACATTTTTTTGAAAATACTTAAACATTTATTTGGAAATAATCAAACATTTATTTGGAAATAATCAAACATTTATTTTAAAATACTCAAATATTTATTTGTTTTACAAATTAGATATAATTGTATTGTATGACTACTGAACAGTTCAGTTTGTAGTGTTAAACTAAATACTATTGATTACATTAAAACATTAATTATAAACAATATATTATTGTATTGTATGACTACTGAACAGTTCAGTTTGTAATCGTAATCTATTCACTAAATTACTAATTAATCTTAAAATTAAATACGATATCAGAGACACCGGATGTGATGGTAGTTGTGGTTGATTTAAGCAATAATCTCCCGATCGCCGTAAAAATGTCTTTTGTAGTCCATATTTACGGAATCGATGGCCAATTCAATGCGATTTTTCAATATGTTTCCGATCTCCAACTCTTTGGTGCTTGAAATCAACTCATTTGTCATAACATCTTGATATTCGTCACTATCATAGTCCGAGTCGAGTCCGGTCGGAGGCATTCCCTTGTATTTTGTCACTATATGAATAAAATATGTATTAACACAACAGACACACAACCATTTCGGGAATCAAGTCGAGTCCCCGCCGGAACTGAACTGTTCACGACGGCTAACCCTCTCATTATTCGCCTCCTACTTGAGTTCACTCTCGATATCTTCAAGTCTGTGGACCTCTTGAGGTGACAATTGATTGAGTTCTTCGAGACTTGTCTTAATGTCAAGACTTTTTGCAAATACAGTATATGTAAAACTCGTTGGAGATATGAAAGCATTGATTCAAAACACGTTGTCATTGCGATTGGCTTTCAATTCACAAACATTTAGTGAGACATCTGTTGGCAAACATTATAAACGCATTTAATGTCAAACAAAATGTTTAAACGTTTTTTTCAGGCAAAAAAATGTTTAAACATTTTTATTCAATCAAAAAAATGTTTAAACATTTTTGGGCTCTTTTCAGTGCTGGAACTGTTTGAACACACATTCGTAACGGAATCGGTCTTCGAGTGAGAGGTACGAGGTTACACAAGCGCAAACAGGTACCAGACATTTAAGCATGCTATTCGATAAACCACCTCACACAAAGTTTCGGTATATAATTTCACCGAAATTCTGTGTCGAATTTTCGAGTTATTCGACTTTAAAAATGAAAAATTAAAGTTTCGATTTTTTTTAAATTCCTGAGTTAATTTTGATTAATATATAATAAATATTATAATTATAAAAGTATTCTAGATTTACAATAAGCGTAGTGAATAAACATTATAAATAACAAATTAACAATATATTGGTTAAAAATAATTATATATTCGTTATTAAAATAAATTAATTGTGATAAATTGAATACAAATTCTAATTTTGGTTTAAAATATTTATAAAGATTTTTATAAAATGTATGACGAGGTAATGAGAATGTGTTTACGTTTCCCTCGTCTTTGCGGTTCGATAGATGGGGCCCTGGTTTGGTAGGCGTGGTCCGGACTCCTCTTACCAACAGTTTGTGGACACAATAGTTGCCTTTTGTCCGAACGGACCGCAGTTTACCTTTAGTTGTCTTGTCTTCGGGCCTTCACGGCGAGTGTTAGGTCCCAAAGCCTTGTGTTGCCCTCAGGGCTTACTCCTGGTCTCTCTCTATAGTATAAAAGACCCAAAGTGAATCACACCAGGCTTTTAGGAAAACACGTTTATTGTTCAAAATATAAATCAAGACTAAGACTCTAGAGAGACTCTACTTAATGATTACAATTCTTATCAAAGAGTAAAAACATGTATTTGTTATCTAAAACTAATAATTGATAAAACGATTAAAAAGATATTAGTAAACATAAAATAGTGAGTCGAGACCTCAGGGTCTGGACTCTGGAGTTGAGGGAATGGAATGCTTGTCACAATTGTAATAATTTTTCGTGACTCATTCCATGCTTTGTAACCACCTTCAGCTACACTTACAAGCAGTTCTCATTAACAGTACCACTCTCAACACTCTCCACACCTACACAACTATCTTGCCTTCAACAAGCTGTTATTGAGCTCAACCAATCAATTCAAACTTGTCCCAACGGTTCCCTAATCACAAGACGAGAACCATAAAGACTACAAAATAAGACACAAACCCTTACCCTACATTCAGTCATTTAGTTGCT